CTGTTGATTTTGGTAAAATCTTGTGATTTCAAATTTTCCAAAAGTTCCTTGGAATTTTTAAGTATCCACATCTGATTTACACCACTTCTCGAATATATTATTGCACAGTACTCTTGAAGTTTCTCCTTCACCACTGTTAATATCTTAGTGAGGAGTAAAAAAAGAGGCTTGGTTGAACATTTACTGGAACCCGCTATGTATCTTTGCTTGTAAGGATTTTTCTGAAGTTTCGGAATCCAAGATAAATATAGTAATTCAAATTCATTTTGGTTGTTTGGAATATCAAAAATATTCAAAATAGAAGGATAGATGGTTCTCATGTTGCCCTTCAATCTTTTAATGCGTGATTTTAACATACATCTGATACATTTAATCCATTCTGACAAAGTATCAAGGTCTTCTTTTTCATGTCTGGCCCAATCGCCTGGCGTAGTCCTCTACAGAATCCATAAAATGTATGTAATTCCGACGCCAGTTGAAGGATCGGGGTTCCCTAAATTTAGGACCTTTTAAAATTAGTGATCTAAGGTCCTCAATATAAACTATATTTACGTCACCAGTAATAGCGTGTCCAGCAGGACTATAGTTAAAGGGCGAAGAAGAACATGAACACGATGGAGGATTATGTTTCAGATATTCGATATCCAGGCCCTGTTTGTTTCTTGTTTTCTTGTAATTAAAAGTTTGGAAGCAATAGTCGATGTATATTTGTTGGAAATACAAGGTGTAGTCTTTAACTGGACCCTTTTGTGATTAAGAATATTACTTATATTAACCGCGTCCCTTTGTTGGCATATTGAATTTTAAGGAAAAAACGGATTGTTTTAGCTGTATTTTCTTCAGTAAAACGCGGAGGTTTAAAAAGCCTATGATTTGCAATATCCATAATCACAGATCCCAGCCTATATTCTGGTGTCGAGGAATCAAAAACTGGACTTTTCTTGACCTTTTCAAGAAGACTATTTAAAAGTTTCAAAGGGACAGAGTAAAATTTGGTGCGAATATGATGTAGACCTAACTGTTGATTTACGTAAGATAGTAATGAATCAAAAGAGACATCGTGTATTAAAGGTTTATTGTAAGACCGATGCCCATGACTACGCTTACGTCTCTGTGTATGGTTAAAAAGTCCCATCACGTTTACATTGTTACACTGTGGACTGGATTTCCAACACTATCCACATTGTCATTACCTCCATAGGGAAAGGATGTCCCTAGCTTTCTAATCAAAAATCTTCTCGTTGTCTACGGAAAGGTGTACTCAGTGATGGACTGTGATGGACTGTTTGTGTGCCATGGAGGAGTAAACATCCTCTGTCGACCGCCCAGATCCACCTTGTTTCCCTTGTCCTGATCTGGAAAACGAAAAGTTCGTGGACATTTTATTGTGAAAATAAAGGCCTAACAATCTGTGTTAAAGACGTCAGTCTAAATTTGATACAACGACAGACTGTGTCGGAAAACATGGTCATTGTATCGACCTTAGAATTTACGAAATGTTCAATTTCAGATCCATTATATCAATGCAAAAAAAAAAAAAAAAAAAAAAAACAAAACAAAAAAAACAAAACAAAAAAACAAAACAAAACAAAACAAAAACAAACGATATCATGGCCAATAATTTTACTAGATTTTACTACATCTCTTTCACTGTCCAAATGGTTTATCATCAGATCTCATAATGTATTCCTCTTTATGTTCGAATCCTCAACAGAGTATTGGAAATGATTGTATTTAATTTTTAAAATACTTTTAACCATGTCATTGATCAGAGATTTGTAGCAATTAGAAAGCTAAAATGATTTTAGATAATGAGGAACAGTTTAACATAATCTGCATTGTACATGTAGTTTACATGTAGTTCACACATGATGCAAAAAATATTGTTAAAAAAGCAACATGTTTTACTAAGATTGGGAAACCATCTCTGTTAGATGTGATTATAACTAATGAAAATGATAAATGTGGAAAAGTGTGTAATTTTGGAACTGGTATTAGTGACTGTCACAATTTTATTTCTGTGTGAATATTGAAATTAGAGAAAGGGAAACAATGAAAAGGTTATGTAGAAGTTTTAAAAATTTTAATGTTGAACATTTCACTACGGAATTAGAAGATAAACTATCATTACTGTCTGAAAGCACAGATGCCAATGAGGCATATGAAAGTTTTAGTAATTGTTTTTTAGATGTAGCCAACAACATGCACCCCTTAAAGAAAGGAAAATTTTGACAAAACAAGTGCCATATATGAATAAAGAGCTTCGTAAGGCTATATACAAGAAAAAAAATGTTTTTTAAATAAATATCAGTCAATAAGATCAAACCAGAACTGGGAGAATTATAGGCAACAAAGAAATCTTGTAACAAAATTAAAAAACAAATCTATCAATCAGTATTTTATTGAAAGATGTGCTGGAGGACCTAAATCAAAAGACTTTTGGCCAACTGTAAAGCCTTTTTTAACAAATAAGGGATGTCTCATACAGAAAGATGTAACTCTTTCAGAAAACAGTAAACTTGTAAATAATCAAAATGAGATAAGCGAGATTTTTAATGAATATTTCATAAATGGTGCTAATGATATTGGAAATCCAGATGAGAAGGTTGATGAGGACCACCCAAGTATCAAAGCAATTAGAGAAAATACTCTAGGTACAACACAACTGAATGCATTTTCTTTCTCGCCCATAATGAAAGATTTTGTCGACAAAAGTATAAAAAAAATTAATGTGAAAAAAGCTACAGGTATAGATGGAATTTCTCCAAAATTCTTGCACATTGCTAATCCAATTATCAGTAAACCTTTGACCAAAATAATTAATCTGTCCCTGGCAACATCAACCTTTCCTGATAAGTTAAAAATTGCTCAGGTGACTCCGATACACAAGAAAAACAGTACCTTAGAGAAGGGTAATTATAGACATCCTTCTAAGTGTCCTTCTAACAATGTCAAAACTTTTCGAAAGAGCAATAGAAACACAGTTAACTAACTTTTTTAATGAAATTTTTAATCCATTTTTATCAGCTTTTCGGTCTGGTTTTGGATGTCAGTCAACTTTATTAAGAGTTATTGAAGACTGGAAATATGCCCTGGATAAAAATGAATATACTGCAGCCATTTTAATGGATCTTTCCAAGGCCTTTGATTGCCTTCCCCACGAACTACTTCTTCTGAAACTAAAAGCCTACGGCCTATCTGAATCAGCACAAGATATGCTAAACAGCTACCTTTCACACAGAAAACAATGTGTTAAATTAGGGTATCATGTTAGTGACATGCTAAACATCATTAAAGGTGTCCCACAAGGATCTATTCTTGGTCCCCTACTATTTAACATATTTATAAATGACTTGTTCTTCTTTGTAGAAAAATGTAATCTCTACAATTATGCAGACGATAACACATTATCAAAGTCTGATAAATCTTTAGAACAGGTGGTAGCAGCTCTAGAATATGACAGTAGATCTCTCATTAGATGGATTTCTTCAAATAAAATGCAGGCTAATCCTGAAAAATTTCAGGCAATTTCTATTGGTAACAAAACACAAAGTAAAAACATTATATTTGATTTAGATGGAGTCAAAATTCCCTGTGATGGTGAGGTTAAGCTTCTAGGCATCACCATTGACTTCAGGTTGTCATTCGATACACATATCACAAATATGTGTAAAAAGGCAGCAAGGCAATTAAATGTTCTTAAACGAATAGGAAAGCATTTAACTAAGTTAGGAAAACTTACAATATATCATTCTTTCATAATGTCCAACTTCAGTTATTGTCCTTTAACATGGCACTTTCGTACAGAGCAAAACACTCGTAAAATAGAAAAAATTCAGGAAAGGGCTTTAAGATTTATCTATGAAGATTATAAAAGCTCATATGAAAGTTTATTGAATAAATCTAAACTACCATCCCTGAAAACTAGAAGAATGCAAGCCATTGCTCTAGAAACTTTTAAAATTATCCAAGGTTTAAGTCCTGTCTTTTTGCAAGACCTAGTTGTTTTTAAAAATAATTCATACAATTTTAGATATACAAATACTGCAGAGGTCCCAAGACCAAGAACAACAAGGTATGGAATGAAATCATTCAGGTATGAGGCAGCAAAGCTCTGGAAATCCCTGCCAAATGAAGTCAGGAAATTCTCCTCTTATAATCAGTTTTCAAACTACATTTCATCTTGGTGTGGAGAAATAAATTGTAAATGTAGTTCTTGCAGACTCCAGACTTTTAAGCCTCATACCTGATGTCCCCCCTTTGTAGCTTACTGTTTGTTGGTTTTAAGTTATGATTTTACTATATTAGTGCTATCTTAACCCCTCTTCTTCTTCTTTTTTTTTAATATATATATATATATATATATATATATATATATATATATATATATATATATATATATATATATATATATATATATATATGTGTGTGTGTGTGTGTGTGTGTGTGTGTGTGTGTGTGTGTGCATGATCTTTGTTGTATATGTGTGTGTTTGTGTCTTTCTTATGTTATGTCTTTTATGTCCTTTTTTATGTGTGTTTACCAGTGTCTTTAGTTCCATTCTTGTGTTCTATGTGTGCTTCTGTCTTGTCAAATTTAAGCATGTTTTCTCATATATGTATATGTACATTTTATTTGTGCTAAATGTGTTTCTATGTTACTAGTCGGTAAAAGAGCCTTAAAGCTCATGTTTTTTTGTTAAATGTATATAGTCCGACTATAAATAAAATTTACTACTACTACTACTACTACTACTACATTTTAGCTTCGACGATTAACCTATATATAATGCAGGTATTATGTGTATCCTTTCATTACTTGTATATATACATTATATGACTCCGTTATTTTTTGTAGTTATTCTTGTATATTGTATTTTTTCTGCTTTAGTTATGCCCAAAGATTGTAAGGATATTCGTGAAGACGATCAAACTAGTACAGGGGTGTACGACATTTACCCCTACGGCACCTTAACCATTCCTGTCAGTGTTTACTGCGACATGGAAACAATAGGCGGAGGATGGACGGTACATTTTATCTAGTTTATTTCAAAATTCAAAAGTACATAACATAATTCACATTGTTTTAGGTGTTTTAAGGATTGTAGGATAAAAAATTGAATATTTTGAGTTTATATCATAACAGACGGATCCTATGATTGTTCGAAGCAACTAACTGAATTGTTATGCATGGTAATTTTCAAAGGCCATTCAGAAACGCGTAGACGGATCCGTGAGCTTTTACAGGACCTGGAGGGAATATAAAAATGGTTTTGGTTCACCGGAACAGGATGTCTGGGCTGGTAAGTATAAATCATTTTCAAATAGGAACTTTTTATTCCTTCAAAGTTTGAAAAACATTTCTTGTGGCAGGTAAGAAAATTAAAGCGTAATAAAGAGCTAATTTTAAGACTAGGTAATATGTGCTCTACGATATTCACATATCGTGTTTAATTGATATTTCAGATAATTAGAAAAAAGAAGAGAAGAAAATCATTTAGCGACATAGTCTTAATGAGACCAAATTTAGCACCAATGTCTACAGCTTAGGAAAATAATTTGATTTTTCATCACGATATATTCATATCTTTAATAGAATTAACTGTATTGTAATGGACTTTTCAGCTGATTTCAAGCATATCTTAATACAGGAAATGACGTAATCCATCAGTTAACAAAAGAGAAGAACGCATCCCTCTATGTGTCCATCACTCTTCAAAATGGCACAACGCTGTATGAAATGTACGATCAATTCTCCGTCTCCGACGAAACAGGGAAATATCAACTCTTCCTTGCTGGACCTGCCTCGGGAACCTTAGGTTAATGTATTCATGTTAAGTTCTTCAAATCAAGTATATCATCATATATTTTTTTTTTACACTGAAAGATTATTAAGTTGATGAAAAAAGAGACAAAAATACATTTTTTTTCTATATTCTGTATCCGTTTTTGATTCCACGCTAATTAAACATGTTTAATATTTCAGGATATCATTTGTAGGTACAATTCACGAATTCCGCAGACATTGAATTTGTCATTGTCAAGTAGCTAAAATTTTGAATTATATATTCTAAATACTATCATATACCCAAGTGTGTATCACTCAATTTTACTATAGATTTCGTACAATCTCGTGGTGGTGTGATCCGACATTCCGGATCACCACACTGTGATTTCTGAAACCATATCACCACTCTCTGAAATTGATGACGTAGTACGCAGAAACATGACGTAATTTTTCTTATGCATCAAAACGTTCCTTGACAAAATGCTTTTTTAATCGAAAAATATATAATTGATCTCAAAGGTTTTTAAAACATTTTGCTAGTTGTAAGGGGGTATATAATAAATTTATCATTATAACAGTGACTAGATCCGGAGAGCCGTATCACGTCTCATTGACAGGCGCGAATCATCAGATCAAACTCGACCTTCGCATCTCGCTTGATCTGATGATCCGCATCTGTCAACTATTTTGATGTAGTATATCACACCTGTATTGTGTCGTAGTACATTACACCTGCATTGTGTCGTAGTACATCACATCTGTATTGTGTCGTAGTGCATCACGTCTGTATTGTGTCTTAGTATATCACATCTGTATTGTGTCGTAGTACATCACATCTGTATTGTGTTAAAGTACAACACACCTGTATCGTGTCGTAATACATCACATCTGTATTGTGTCGTAGTGCATCACATCTGTATTGTGTCGTAGTACATCACATTTGTATTGTGTCGAAGTACATCACACCTGTATCGTGTCGTAGTACATCACATCTGTATCGTGTCGTAGTACATCACATCTGTATCGTGTCGTAGCACATCATATCTGTATTGTGTCGTAGTACATCACATCTGTATTATATAATAGTACATCACACCTGAATTGTGTCGTAATACATCACATCTGTATTTTGTCGTAGTACATCACACCTGTATCAGGTTAAAGTACATCTCACGTGTATTGTGTCGGAGTACATAAAATAATTATCATACATCTACTTATCTAGATAGATAGATTATCTAGATAGATTACATCTATCTTACATACAGGTGTGTTGTACTTTAAAATTCTTGTCGGAGTACATCAAACCTGTATTTTGTCAAAGTACATAACATATGTAAGAACAATCCCATATCATATCAGCTTAAATACTTTTTTCGTCAGAGCTCATCGCGAACATAAAAAATTGCATTATTTCAGAATTTTATTTTAAAATTCCATTATCGTCTTGGAGTCTTTTTCGTGTTGACGTACTCAGTATCTTTATCATGCCATACCATTATTTTCTCGGATTGCAGTCTTGTAAAACATAAAACCACATTTCACCTATATAACACCATTATAACCGAAGAGTACATCACACCAAGTTTGTAATTCTGACTTATATGAATCATATATATATCATAAAGAGTACACTAAAGGTGCTTGAGGTAGCTGTTGATTCAGATTGGACACCCATGTTGTATGACACTGTACATGTGTCTTTAAACGATGAAATATATGGAGATAGCGAACATTATTCAAGCTCAAAAGTCCATTAAACAATGAAAATCAAATGCAGGCGACCGTTTCACTAACTCATCGTAGCTCGTAAACGTAGACGTAAACTTGAACGTAGAACATGAGTGCGTTTCATTAAGAGTTACGATTTGCGAGTTACGATTAAAGTTGATCGCAAGTCTACGAGCAGTCAGGGGCACTCGTAAGATACTTACGTGCGAGTAATTTCATGAAAAAATCAACTTAAACCAAAAATAGTTGTAAGAAAACCTATTTTTACCATCGAGATCTGCTCTCGGTCATAATACTGGTTAATTGTGTAGACCGAGTCCGATCTTAAATCTCACGCTTAGTAAAAAAAAATTATATATACTCGCAACGTAGATAAAGTTTAAATAATTAAAAAAAAACTTCAAGTTTACAATTTCATTCTAAAGCTCAATATACCCCCGCCCCCTAAAACCAATAAAAATACAGTCGGAAATCGGGATAAGATAGGTGCGATTGCATTGTCTTTCAACAGCAAAAAAAACCTCAGAAGATATATACATGAACATCCCCTTTATAGAAATCAACACTGACCCAGAACCCAAAAATAAAAATTAAACAAAGAAAGATCCTTTTCCCACTGTTACTTTCTTCTTTTCTAAATATTAAATCACTGAAATATTTGAGCATGCAGTATACGGTGAATTGGTGTGAAATAACGATAAAAAGATATGAAAATTTTGTTTGGAAAAGAGCTGGAGCCACGAACCACCAAAATGTGCCTTAAGTTGTAGACAAAATTCACGTTTGAAATCACAATGCCTGTTATATGTTATTTTGTTGCCCACAATATCGTGTTACTCTACATAGAAATTTTTGTCACACAAGCCACCGTCTTTAGCACATGCGCAGCATTAAAAATACCAATGATGTTAAAAACTGCTAAAAAATTTATTTTGCGGTAATTATTTTAAAAAATTGAATGTGGCCACACTCAAGTACCTCTTCCAAACTTTGCAGACGGATAAATATTACATATATGCGTCTTTATGCAAAGTATCTTAGAGGTACTCACGTGTGGCCAATATGAATTTTACATTTTATGAACGTTGAGCTATCAGAAATTGAAGCAAGTTCTTCCATTAGTACAGTAATTACAAGTTCATTATAAGCGTAAATACAAGTAGCCTAAATTAGTTATCAACATATCAGATTTATTCTTGATTACTACATTATCCGAAATTGTCAATTATTTTGATGTAAATTATCTTAAATATTTAACTTGTATTATTTCATCTAAAATTTAAAATTACGTTCTTTTGATTCAGGCTTACGTACATCAATGATGACGTCATAATTTGACGTTTTGATCCTATCGTGAACAAGAATAATTGATGAAATTCATTAAGATAATTTAATTTTTAAATAGTTGAAAAGTGTCAAGAACCAGTTACCGATTTGTTGCCGTACTAGATGTTGAACTTAATACTTTTTTTCAGATTCTTTATATTAAAAGAAAATACAAATGTCTAATGCAAAGCAATTATCTAAAATACATGCAATTGCAACAATCATGTGCGTTTTAGATATACATGAAGCGTAAATAGTTTGATTTTTTCACACATTAATATTTTTAATGTAGAAATATACAGCATTTGTGCCTTCAAAATTGTGTTTTTGATTTAATTAACAATAACGTTTGTTACATTTAGCTAATACTAAAACAATAAACACTGAAACACCCCCTCCATCTCTCTCTCTCAAAAATTTTTTTGATGAACACAAAAAGGAAAAAAAAAGAAAAAAAATCTTCACCAATGGGGGGGGGGGGCTTACACATCTCAGAAATGTTTTGACAAGAAAAAAAAAACCTGAAAGAAGCAGGGGTTGTAAGACACTTGTCGTGAACAAACCGCTAGACTCTTTTTACGGACTTGCAGTGGTCCGTAATTTAATTGTGCGTATGCAGGGGAATTCCAAACACATCTATTATTTTATTATATAAATCTAATAACTCTGAAATTAAATAACACCAGGCTAGCCCCCTCTTCAAATCTGCGCATACGTATATATATAAACATTTACATCAAGTTTTGTGTACAGTAATAATCGGTGTTAGACAACAACAACAACAACAATTTGGAGCTATTTACTCCCTCCCGTTATTATACGTATTTGAATTTATTGTTTCTTTTTGTCAGATATGTATCTCGTCCTTGAAGTGTAATTATGTTTTTTTTTAAATTTATTGTGTTCTCTCGATTCCATGTTTTTTTTTTTTTTTTTTTTTTTTTTTGGGGGGGGGGGGGGGCAGACTGTCGTGGCGGAACAACGTATCACATGCGTTTTAATTTCAAAACACATGTACATTATAGTGCAAGCATAAGTAAGTGCGCCATTATTTTTATTCTTTGTTATCGAACAGTTCAAGTATTTTAATCAGTAAAGAATTGCTGTTTGTCTCCATTCATGCGTGTATAATTAAATAATTCCCCTGACTATTATTTCCAAAGCTATTTTTTTTTAAATTATAATCCCGAAGTAATATTTTACATTACATCTATGAGATACAACACCTTCTCAGATTTGATTAAAACTACTGGAAAAACGGTGAGATACTGTAAACCAACTTTAATTTGCATGTGAGAAACATGCACCAGTTTCGCAAACCATTTATATTGCTTTGAATTTGTTGAAAATTTTTATTAGTCGCAAAAACAAAACGTCACGGATTGATTTCAAACGGACGAATCGCGAATAAAAGATGACGCAATTAATAGTTGGTTTACAGTGTGCTCTTTATTTCATGTACAAGAGGATTAGGATATAATGCAATCAGTTATGCTCGTGCACAGTTATCGCATTAACTGCTATGAAATCTTTTTATAATATATTGTTAAACTGATCATGATGCTGTTTGATAATTCTCTTTCCAATTTTTATTTTTTTTTTTTTGAATGTGTTATATAACTGCAATATAGATTTTTTTTTAACGACGTTACAATGTAACGTAATGACGTTACGTTATAAATAATGACGTTCCTCCAGCAAATTTCAATCAAAACAATGCCATACTGTAAAATCTTTAAAAAGTATTACAGATACATTAAAGAGAAAAACAGTGATGAAAAACTAAAAGTCTACACTATTTATATTGAAAACCTCATTAATTTTTTTAGCTAAGGCACATTTCCGTGGTTCGTGGCTCTAGCTCTTTACGAATTGGGGCAAAGTAAAATCAAATAAACACTTCTACCTTTATAGGTACGGTTACTTTTATTTACAAACTCTATTAGGAGTGGGTAGCCGATTGTTGGATCAGCGCATGTTATTGAAGACTGTCGTGTCAATTTATATATAGAGATTTGAATTTAGTAATTTAGTTTGATAACTTAGAAATTGTGACAGTAGACCTAATATAATTATTTTGCCGCAATTATACCCTCCCTCCCTCCCCCCACCGGTGTTTTAAATTTGCATGGGACATTGCGATGGATAGTTTGCTTAAACATTTACGTAAAGATTTGTGTTCTGAACAAGTGCAGAATCTTAAGTACTTGTAAAGCAATTGCTCTCTGAGAAGTTGATGAAGCGGAAAGCAGAGAAAGAATATGAATAATACATACTAATATGCGTTAACATTTAAAAAAAATACTCTTGACAAATATGCATTAGAGTATGGGCAATATTTTTAATGAAAAAACCGAATTGTATTATTTATTTGTGTCATGGTGCGGTACTTTTTCCGTTGATGTAAGCCATACTTTAAATCAGATAGAAAACCTTTGGCTGAATTCCAGTATACTGTAACTTATAGGAGGCGGAGCTTAGCTTTTCTATAACTTCTACTGTACTGTACTTTAACTTCCCAATTATGAAGTTTCAAAATATCCTTTTTTGGGTTGAATTGATTTTATTTTCTAAACACACAAGATTTAAACAAAGTATGACAAAATCATACCATAGATTCAAAAACTCGTCAACTGAAACCTAAACAGCTCTGTACCTGCATATACATGTAATATGTTGATTAATTAAGAACATTGCATAAAACAAAATTAAGAAATGCAAGAATTATTCCAATTCAATTGAAATTGAAAGTAAATTGACAATTTAGAAACAGAGCTTTTTCAGTAATTTCCGAGAGAACACTCCTGTTTCCTGGGTTTCTTGTGCTACGAGAAGTAGAATTATTAGAACATTTCTCATCAAATTCCATGGGTTCGTCTTCAGCGGCTGAAGCGGCATTTAAAGAACAAGTCGGTGGTTCAACTTTGATCTTCTTTGGTGCGGGCGGATCCAGTACGGAACTAACTGTTTCTAGTATTTTATCAGACGATTTCTCGGACAGCTTTCTCCAAACGATGACCTGTACGGGCCATTATTTCTTGCTCATCAATTCCGGACAAATACATCTGAGTTGCGCAGGTTCTCTTAACAGAGTGGTTTGTAAAGTTGCATATTGAACAACCGGCAGCGACATTTCCTTCATCATCGATTTGAACTTGTTAATTCCAAGTGCTTGAGTACCATATCGAATCTCGGGACTAGGTAAAGGCTTTCGGTAAAAGAGTCCATTGTTGCCCAGTGTTGTCAGATACAAATCGAAAATTCCATAAAGGCTTCCCCTGTAAAAAAGTAACAATAATATAAGTGCGGAAAACCACGTCGGAAGCATATTGAAAGAAGGGTGGGGGCCGGGGGGGGGGGGTAATTGAAATTGTCCTAACCCGAAAATCCTATCTCGAGGGGGTAGGGGGGGGTAAGATCGAACTCCTTTCAATATCATTTTTTTCATATCCTACCACACTTACCCTCTTTGACTATACTGTAGGGGGGGGGGAGGAATCGGCCTTTCAACAAACATAATATTGCTACGTGCCTGTTGAAAAGGGGGGGGGGCGGCTCAACCAACAAAACAAAAGTTTGAAGACTACGCCCCAATGTTCCATGCCTATATTATTTCTATCTTTGTAAACAAAAAATCGGGGGGGGGGGGGGTGTGCAGAAGAACCCCTAGCCCCCCCCCCCCGCTCCAGTTTGGACGCCTATCTGACTTTGACCCTAAACCTGGGATTTATAGATCTATGGACTTAATTATTAAAAAAAAACTTTAACAAACTATGTATATTCTTGTACAGTAAATACAAACTTTAATGTAGATGTTATTTAATCAGATGACTTACCTGCCTGACAGTAATGCTTTATGTTTTTGTTGCTCAGCTGCATTTGACGTAGTCCTCCCTGGTACGTCTTGTTCTGTCTGCCCACAAAGTGAATGAATTTCCCCTGCGCGTCAGACCCAATTTTGAACTGTGAGCTGACGATGTTCATCACATCCACGTAGTCCAAACACTTTACAGGCATAGAAGAAAACCGTGTTTTTTAAGGAAATGACGAAATTTTGCCCAAGCACACCTTTCTCCCACAGAATATCTTCTTGTTCTGGCAGTATTGGGTCGGCCTGTCGCACAGTCGTTCCCATTCCCTGGGCTACGAGGCTTTTTATTCGGGCGTCGAGTACTTTACGTGTCCGTGCAAATCTATCGTCATTATGGTCAAGAAGGTTCATTCCAAATATTTCAATATCACGCAAATGTCGCAGCAAACCACACATAAGATAATATAACGATTTGGGCGTGTATTCATTCCCCTTTTGATTGCAAACCTCGACGACAAATCTTTGCAACCAATAGTCCATACAAGTAGCGTCCATTGCAGAAAATTCTAGAATAAACTCACCGGTATTCGACGAAAGTTTATTTCTCTCCTCCCGCCATTTTCTCCAAACGCCAAATGCCCACCTCGTGTTTGCCTTGTTATTCTTACACTCCTGATACTCCGTGAGAAGCTTTATTTTCTTATCGGTTATAGGTCTCGCAAACATTCCCTGTGGTTCGTCGGTTTCTGTGGGTGGTTCGGGGGTTTCTGGGGGTGGCTCAGTATTAAAAACTTCTTGTTCTCCGAAAAGAAATCCGAAATCAAAATCTCCGATACTCATGTCGTTTATTCCTTCTAATACAAACTCCTCATTTTCAATAACTTCACATATTTGTCTAAATCACTTTTTTAAATCAAAGTACTGAAAGTACTGGAAAGCGCTAAGCAATGTTTACAATTTGACATTCTTCAGAATTATTTTGAATTTAAATTGCCTATTGTATTGGAATAAGTAATATGTTGACAGTGCAAACGCTAGGGGCGAGCACAGTTGTTTGATACACATTTACTTTAACCGCACGAGGATATATTTGAAGATTCGAGACTGTGACATCCCATGACGTCGTATATACGTTGCTATTTAAGGTATGTCACTCGTTAGCTTTTAAGAAAAGTTTAGTAATAACCTCTCGCTTCAAAACTATTTATTACAATTTCATTTTCTATAACATATTTGAATTATAAAATTATAAAACGTTCAATTTAAAAACTGGCCATAAAATCATAAAGAACAAGATTTATGGGGGGCTGTTTCTTGTGGTGGAAAGATATTTAATAGAAAGTTCTACAAATCTACACAATCTAATATCTTGGAATGTTAGCCCTACATATTTTTACTCGGAGCATTTTCCCCGTTATCATACGCTAGGAATTTGAAATGCAGGTGTCAATTAATATTTTTGGAACAAATTTTACATGTTCACTCAACAGAATTTGCCAAAAAATGAATATATATTTAAAAAGTCAAGATAAAATTCACACAGTTTTTTGCCTGAGCGTCAAATTTACTATCTCTCAGCAAATTGGATTAAAGCAATTCAGTTACTTTTTTTGTTTTTGAAGTTTAATTTATTTATGGCAAGAAAGAGCAATACAACAGTTATGGAAAAACTGTCTATTTGTGTTAAATTGCAATTCCGGAATTATTTTAGAAAAAAGTTCATTTTGGAGCAATGTGCACAGTCCGAATTTTACTCTTCGTCTCGGCGTTCCTTTAAGAGCTAGTTTGCCGTTATGAGCAGCACTCGCTTCTAGTTTTCTTTTTCTTTAACATCATTAAATCTATGCAGATAGAACAAATCTGACCTCTCTAGGCTTTTCGTGTAATTCCGAGGCGCCTCTACATTTTACGTTATTAGAAATCGTCACATCCGTTGCTTTCAGTTTCAGTTTATTAGACTGAAACACTACAGCACTGTGATAATTTTTAATAATAAATTCATTTCGTGTTCACGAGTGTTTCAAAATGAAGATTTGCTGTTGGTGACATAGGCGCTTGGTTTCAGGTGCATGGATGGTGTATTTTGTGTATTATGTGTTTTTCTAGGTGTGTCTGAATACACTCATTAAAATAAAAATCGAAGATCGCTGAAATTAGCACGTTTTAAAAATATCATATAACTGTATATAAAAAAGAACCAAGGTACGACAGTTGCCACCTTAGATTTCAGGGGGTGTCTTGGTTCACACTTGATTTTAATCAATATCTACACTTTTCCTACCGTTGTCGGATGAGATCTAGCTTCAAAAATGATTGAATAACGCCCTTCAATCGTGTGCCGATTTAAACTGAAACCAAGCGCCTATGGTTGGCGAATGTCATTTTATTTGTTAGAAAATGTAGGTGTTATTTCTTATTGCATACAATACTGCATATCGATAAAAAAATCCTTATTGATAACATTTATTAAAGTTATGAATAAAAGATCTTTAAAATAACGAAAATAATATTCTGAATTGGTTTTTTTTTAATCATATCTCAATTTATTCTCATATTCATAAGCGATTTATAAATTTACGATTTCATAGAAAGGATTTTACAAGAAGTACATTCAATGGAGTGTGTAAGATATTTACACAATCGCCGGTATTAATTAATGATAAATAAGACTTAGACTATTACATTTTGTTTTGAATATGCTACAGCTGTGCCTTACACATTTTTAACACTTCACATTCATCGCGCTGTGCAACATATCGGCATCAACATGTTACAAAATCCAGGAAATTAGCACCTGAAGCGTTTTCGTAGTTTTGTCAGAGATAATAGGTATATATAGAATTTGAGTATAAGTATATTATATTTGTCTTCTTCGTTTGATGAAAAAACATTCAGTGCTATTCTTTAATCTTTGACTTTCATATACATGATTTATAATGTATTTGCGTCGAAAATTAGTCTTTTCTGTTGATCTCACAATATTTGTAGCTGATTTGTAAATATCACATTTTTAAATAAAAAATTTATACTTTTTTCTTCGGAATAAAAATATGTCATTAAAAACTCGAGTATTTTTTTTTTAACTCTTTCTTGTTAAAATACTTTAAAATGAATCGGTAATTTTTTTTTACAGACATTTGATGCTTTAGCTTAATTTTAACTTGTTTAGGTATGATATCAACTACCACTCAAAACATGCTGATAGGAATAAAATAAAATATCCACAGCACTGGTGTGTTCCTTGAAAAGAAATCCTGAAAATAATTGACCAGTAATTTTTGTGCTAGTTCCATGATAAATAATTCAACAACCCAAAAAAGAAAAGATAGTATATTAATCTCAAGTATGAACAAATATGAAACCCTATTTTCTGATTTTCATGAAGATATACAACATTGTTTCATTCTGTTTTCATTTAGTGCTCATAAAGTTGCTAAGCAGACAAATCGGTAACTCAAACATACCTGTCCCGTTACTGAGAACGTTTAAGTAAGGTTTTACATTTTCGACATATCTTGCGCACAGCACACACAAAGCGCCATATTTGTCATCAATATTTCCGAGAAATTAGTTTTCCTCTCGAAGTGGATTCAGCCACTACGTGTCCTACATGTACGTACAGTCGTAAACTGCCTTTCCTTGCGAAACAATGCTATATTACACGAATATAGACAGTTCATGAATGCATTTACGTCTGTTAATAATTGATACTGAGATGCGAAAATCAACATCATTGATAGCTCTCTGCATGGTGCAAGGGTGATAATAGAAAGACTTGTTTTTTTTGTCTGAAATAAGGGTCTAGAAGAAAAAAAAGTTAGTTAATATGGATATAAATTATATAGATCATACATGTAAGAACATTGTATATCAATTTTATGCGAGATTTTCTATTAAATAACTTATTTCCAGTTTGAGTTTTAAATACTTATTAAAATCCCATATGAGTTTTAAACAATCACTATATACATGACATATGATAAACCGTTTTTAAAGTATTTGCACCATTGATGGTTTTTTTAATACTTCTTCGATACATGTATTATCACTGCAGCAATTGTTAGCTACATGTTACACAGTGCCGACATAATTTTTTTAATGAACTACAGTGTATAGAGATAAGAACCGCCTTTATCCACTAACAGCAGATTTTCTTACAATGTATACTATCTACCTCACTTATTGACACCTATTATTAGACATGTGCGTAACACAGTATTACTCTAAAATAGCCGAAAGCGAGTTGGGGATTTCCAGTTGCATATTTTTAGAAGACTCGGTGGAGTAATCTTACTTGCTAAGTGGCGCTGGATCGCGAACGGAAGTAGTATTAAGATGACAATAAGCGCTTTGCGCTGCGCTTAGCGCTTAAAAATCAATCTCGTCTAGCTCCATCTTCGTCTAACTTTCGGCGCAGTTTGACGCTGGGCATTTAGGATGGACTTATGACGTCATGTCGCGTGCAGTTTGGTGCTTCAAAGAACACAAATTTTGCATATTTATAAATAGATTTTATATACTATTTACTTCACTATTTAATGAATATGCAAATGACCAAGACACAAGTCATTTACAGATGTTTTGTTTCGTTTGTTGGAATTTATTACACAGAGAGGCGTGACCGTCCAGTCGCTACAAACGAAGCAAAAAAATGTAAATATAACTTATTATATTTATTTAAAACAGAAACATGAAACGAGAACCGCCAATGTGTACAATCACAAGTTGACTTGAGTAAAAATTTTATGTTACACAGAAATTTTAGCTTGAAGTAACATAGAATATTATATACTTGTACACCATCGTGGACTATGCATGTCAATTAAGAGACGTAAAATGTAAGAATTCATTTTCCATTAATTTATTGTCCTTTCTTTCTTTAATTATTTATTTTTTAAGATTAAGAAAAATGGTGAAATATTTTTTTTAATTTTGTAATCTCTCTCTCTCTCTCTCTCTCTCTCTCTCTCTCTCTCTCTCTCTCTCTCTCTCTCAGTCAAATATTCCTTCTTTGTCAGAATTGTTCTAATAAGTTGATCGTAACTCGCCAGTCGTAAGTGTTACGTTTACGATAGGTTTAGTGAAACGCTCATTTACGTGCACCTCTGGCAGTCGTAAATATTATCCTACGTTTACGATTAGCGATTTGTTAGTGAAACGGTCGCCAGAGCAAACACTGACCTCCAAAACATCAGAGGTGGGATCAGATGTCATGGAACCTCCCGTGCCACCCCCCCCCCCCGTTCCTACGGCCATGATATGTACTAGTAACTATTTTCCATTCATTCAATAGGTGACAGGATGTTAGACACGGGGGTTTCTTACAGAGATCTGTCAGGAATGTACTTCAGCACCCCAGACATTGATAACGACAGACATAGCGGTCACTGTGCTGATAACGTGTATGGAGGAGGAGGAGGCGGCTGGTGGTTTAACCACTGTCACTACGCCTTCCTAAACGGTCCCTGGTCTACGGCAGACTGGATCTGGCCTTGGTACCCTACAGTAGAGAACGGTACAGAAGTGAAGAAAACTGTGATGATGATCAGGCGTCACTAGGTACGTCATGAATTGATCAGTCGTCACTAGGTACGTCATGAATTGATCAGTCTTCACTAGGTACGTCATGAATTGATCAGGCGTCAATAGGTACGTCATAAATTGATCACTCGTTACTAGCTACGTCATGAATTGATCAGGCGTCACTAAGTACGTTATAAATTGATCAGGATTCATTAAGTACGTCATGAATTGATCAGGCGTTACTAGGTACGTCATAAATTGATCAGGCATTACTAGGTACGTCATAAACTGATCAGGCGTCACTAAGTACGTCATGA